ATTTGTGACCCGATAATATTTGCGATGTTCTTCTTACAACTTATTTATGCGTTTGAACACTTACAGTTTATTACTTCTATTATATCTACATTTTGAACCATTCGGTCATAAGTCATTTATTATCGTACCATATTAATTACGATTCATGGTTATAACTTTATTTTACAAATAGCAAACGGAATCAAAAGTCACTACGAATGCTTTAAGCGTTGTACCGTGAATTAAGAATATACAAGAATTTAATGGAAACTCTTTTTGAATAAGTTTTTTTATAACTACATGCAATTTTTTTTTATTGAACATTTGATCAAGCATTTGATGAGAACAGAATCGTGAAGTTTAATAATTGGTTTGATAAAATAAATAAGGCGATGATGGTTAAATAGGTATTTAAAATTTTAAAAATGTATATTAAACTTTAATGTACTTTTTACGGTCTTTTTTTTCTGAAACTGTTTTTATACAAAATCAAACTTTCCACTCTCTACAATTTGAGTAAGTACCGTAGTATAAACCTGTTTCAAAAATATGCATAATACGTTTTAACACTCTGGTCATATATGAGACTTATGGCTTCTGAATTAACATATTATGTATAGAAAATAGCTAATTACCGTTATATTACGAGTATGTATACTTTAAAATATTATATGTTTTTTATAAGATACATAAATAATGTCATCCATTTGTTTACTTGTACTGGTCTTCGTTGATAACAAGAATATATTTTCTACAAGGATGTTGAATGCCAATCAATACTTAAGTAAACCCATCAATGGTTAAGTCCGTCTGTATGTCACTAGAACACACCCGGTTCACCTTGGAATAGTTTGAGCTACATATTACTGTTCACTTCGCAAACAGCTTCGTCAACACAAAAAATGTCCTATGATTTGTATTATGTATTTTTTCCATTTATAAATCTGTCGTAATGTGATATGAGTAATCTGTGGTCGAGCGTTTGTTACCCCAGCTATGAGTAGTCCAAATAAAACAGTGAATTAATGTTCAGAAATTTCACTAACTAATATGCTTCAATTTAATAAATTTAGTATTCATTCATTCAATTAAAAAAATAAACTGAAAATATTGTTATTGGTGTCATATATCAATTGACTTAATTTGAATTATTTTACAGAATTCCTTAATTTCCCTTGTCGCTAATTAATAAATATTTTTTATAACAATTGTCATATACTTTCCCAATTAAAGAATAGTTTACAGCTATCCAATTCTTTTTATATTTTTTTTATATTCAAAATAAATCGTTCCATTCAATTCGATTTTCGTAATTTCAAAATGGAAACTTTTAACACCTTTTTGGTGTAAATGGCTAGTCAAATTAGTGGTGATTTACTCAGAGTTTTGCCTTTTATGGTTTTATATATTTTATAATATTGGCCCCTTTTCACTATCTATGATAGAATGTCCAAGAAATGCTTCTTTGTTAAATAGTAGAAACAATACTATTTGCCAGGCTATGCACGTATAAAACACAATGTTAAAATGCAAATATTGTTTTCATTTTTTTCTTCTATATGACATACCTTTAGGCACTATGTATAAAGTAGTAGTACTGAGCATATAAGCTACCGTTATTTCTTTTTTTTATACTGCTACGACATACTAATGCTAAATATCATAATATTGCATAATTAGTAATACCTACAGTAGTGAAATATTCCAATCCACATCATAATTAATCAACAGATAAAAATATATGCTACGAGCACACACTAATTACGTTAAAAAACTATTTGGTGTCAATAGCTTTTTAATCAACTTTATACTAATTCATGACTGCGTGACGACATTCTTATTCCATAATATTACGTAGATAATATTATTGTATGGTATTTTTATTAGTTTTTCCTGCCCTAAAAGTTCTAATTGTAACCATATTATATCTGTCACTGAACTGTATTTTTAATCATAACAGAGTATGCGGCACTACACTCTATACCAATTAATTATCATTATAAAATTATATTAATAATATAATGTGGTTATACGAAACCGTTTGTACACCTATACAACGTGTCCCAAAATTCAACGATAAGCGGGCGCCAAGAGGTAGACCTGCTCATGTGTACTTATGGAAAAATAATAAAAAAATTATATCTTATTAATCTTTTTTATTATAAAATTAAATTCGAAAATCTTCGAAAATTTACACCTTTTGTGATATTTTCAACTACCACGACCACAACTTCTCAATTATGTTCAATCTTTTTTTGGTATCGGATACCTAAGTAGCACTACTATTCGCTACAACTCTTAAAAACACCAAAATGCCCGCAGTTTTTACACAAAAAACAATGAAAACGTATTTTTCCTTAAATTTTCACAGATTTTTACGTTCCGTAATCTTTGACTTACGGGTTGTAAAAAAAAAGTATGGACACCACAGTGGCAAGTTGTTTTTAAAATTGACTGAACTCATCAAGATTCCAAAATGGTATAATAATCTAAGATAACTGGTCACAGTAAAAAAATATGCACACCATTTGTAAACCAAGAGTATTCCGGGCGTTGGATTGGGCGACTTGGTCCTATCTTATGGCCACCCCGATCACCCGACCAGACCCCCTGGACTTTTTCTATTGGGGTTGTCTCAAAGACAAAATCTATGAAAAACCCATTACGACATTGGACGAGCTTCGGCAAAAAATTAGTCAGGCTGCGTCACATATCAATGCTAAAAGGTATGCACGAAAAATAAAACGCTCTTTTTTAAGGCGATGTCGTGCATGTATTAATGCCGGTGGAAAACAATTTGAACATTTACTGTAATGTTAATTATTAATAAATGAATGAGACTAAAACTCACTATTGTTTTATTTCAATATTTTTTTTAAATATCAAAACATTTCGGAACAGTACAATTTATTACTCACAACTTTGGTTCTTGATTCTAAATGGTATGATTTTTAGTTTGTTGCTAGTTATCATGAAGTATTATACCGTTATGGAATCTTCATGAGCTGCGTCAATTTTAAAAACAACTTGCCGCAGTAGTGTCCATACTTTTTTTCTACATGACTGTGAGTCAAAGATTACAGAACGTAAAAATCTGTGAAAATTTAAGGAAAAAAATACATTTTGATTGTTTTTTGTGTAAATACTGTGGGCATTTTGGTGTTTTTAACAGTTGTAGCGAATATTAGAACTACTTAGGTATCCGATACCAAAAAAGATTGAACATAATTGAGAAGTTGTGGTCGTGGTAGTTGAAAATATCATAAAAGGTGTAAATTTTCGAAAATTTTCGAATTTTATTTTATAATAAAAAAGATTAATAAGATATAATTTTTTTCTTATTTTTCCATAAGCACACATGAGCAGGTCTACCTCTTGGCGCCCGCTTATCGTTGAATTTTGGGACACGTTGTATAAGGATGATTCGCACTTAAGGCTCTCTTGTATATCTGCTTACGTTCCCTAACAAATACGGCTTGAGCTTTGATTATAGGCCTCGAAAGTAAAGACGCACTCGCTTGATTTCATTCATTTTTAATAACAGAAAAATATGCTTTTGTACATACATGTTAGATTATGTCAAAACTTATTTTTGTATTTCTATTCTAATATTATAAAGAGGAAAAATTTGATTGTATGTTTGTTTATTTGCATCCAATAGGCTCCGAAACTACTGAACCGATTTTAAAAATTCTTTCACCTACGCGAAACTACATCTTATGCGGTGAACATAGGTTATATTTTATACCGAAAAACGCCAAATAACGGGATAAAAATAAAATGGAAGGTATAGGGATTAAAACGTTACCATTGTTAATTTGTTGTTGTAATTAAATTCGTGTCATGATATGAATCGATATCCAAATAAATAGTTCCCTAGGGTTCAAGCCGGCGAAGCCTCTAGCGAAAAGATAATATTTTTTATATGGTTAAAATCAAATATATGTGAGTGTAAAATCGATTAAAAACTTATTTAAAATCATCTTTGCGATTTTTTTCTATCAAGCCAATAATTGATTTTTTTCTATCAAGTCACTCAAATATATTCACTTTAAAATTGATGGTTTCCAAAAATTTCTCAAAATTCAAAATTATCATTTTTGGTTATTGTTTCTTTACGTGTAAGTGCCACAAACGTGACAATGGCGGAATTGTGTAAACGCAAACAGGTCATGCATGAAAAAGAAGAGGAAGAATTAAAAAGTTCTCTCATTCAAAAACGTAACTACGGATTCACAAGGTATTTATGCAGATTGTGCAGACTACTTAAACGTATATAAATAAAAAAGTATGACTTTTATTAAGCAAACGAAAAGCATATTGCTGCTTAGTTTTCAAAACTATTACATAAGCTTGTACTTTGATTTGTAAGTTTTGTTAAATGCAAAACACAAATTCAAATATGAGCAAAAATTGCAATAATAACCAGATTTTACTTTTTACTGACTAGTTATAGATAAGATATAATTTCTTAAATGAAAACAGCTCCATTATATAAAATATGATTACGAAAACCTAACAGCGTCTTACAAAACTTTAATTTAAAAATGAACTCGACAACGGAATCAAAGGAAACAATAAATCTGTGTCGTTATACGAGTTTGGCAGATTTCGTATGTTAGACACTTTGATCGTTTAGTTTTGAATATGTTTTCTTACATTGTTGTTATAATGGATAATTATGACGCTTAAGAACAATAAAACCATTAAAAAAATATCCATTGTGTTTAAAAAAAACCTAGGTATTCTCAGATATTAGTTATTCAAAGAACTAATTAACTAGCCTTTTTTTACATTGATGCATTTCCGTTGTCGGTTAGTATAAAGAACAATTAATTAAGCAAAAAAAAAACAAATTCCTAAAAACTTATTTTTCGTTAGTCATAATCATAAATAAATGTACACTAGAGAACCGATGTTATGTATGAGAATCCAGTTTACGTATTTCGTATTAAATATTTAAGTTCATGACATCATATTGGCGCATTGGCAGCTTTAAAAAATAAAAATTGCGACCTTACCATTCGACGTATCCAGCCGTGGAGGTCGCGGTAAGTCCTTGACATCCTTGAGGTCGTAAGAATCGGACTTGCAACCCTTGCAGCAAAGAGGTCTTACGTAGCTACCCAACTTGCTACTAACACTGCCCATTTCGCAAACAGCTCTTATTCAACAATCCCAAGAAATACACTATTCTCAAATCTAAACAAGAACCTCTGAATAACCCCCCTAAAACCGTAAATTCCTCACGAAATTTTAACACCAATTAACACACTCGAACCAGAATATAAACCACGATTAGATCATAGCCGATTTCAAAACACTCGCTATATTCAAAGTTTAAACAGTTTGCCACAAAGTAAACACTACGATCAGCTGTTCTAAATAGCGTTATAATAATTCATTAATAACAGTTATCTTTTTTATTACACTATTATATTATAAACAAAATCAAAACAACTCGGTGAAATATTGATGCAATAAATCTGAAATGTATTATTAATTTCTGTTATTCGATTATTCTTTGTGCGCATGATAGGCGCGTGCGCAGCTGAACGCGAGGTTGATTCGTCTGTGTTGAGTCGTCTGCCGCGAGCACCTCAGTCACGCATCGACGTGACCTCTTATCAGGACTTGCAGAATCGTTTAATCCACAAGGGACTCCGAATGACACGATTCTTTATTGAATCATTGTAATAGTGTCAAATTAGTCATTAAAATGACACATAGGACTTTCTGTATGACCCCGATGCCATTGTTAATACCTAAGAACTGGTCGTCATCGATATAAATATACTTAAATTCTACTAGCTGTTTTCCCGCGACTTCGCCCACATAAATTATAGCCTATGTTACCCGAGTGTGATATAGACTCCCGTAAGTAAATTTTAAAATCGGTATAGTATTTTCGGAGCCTGTTCGATGCAAACAAACAATCACCCCTCTTTACGATTTTAGTCCTTACAGAATACAATAAATATCTTTTTTAATTATAATAAGAGTATAAAATCGCGTTTGATTATATTATTAAATAAAAATAATAATTATGTTCTCCATAAAAGCTTTTAATTTTTTTAACTATTAGCAAATTTTGAGTTCATATAAAGTAGCTAAAGTAGAATCTTTACACACGCCGTTATATAAAGACCCGATAAAAATATGTTTATTTTGTATAATTTAAGACGTAATAAACTTACTACTACACACGATTATGTTAATTTACTACAGGTGACATCACTCGCGTCTGTTAAAGGAATGCGCTCGCGCACCTGACGCACGTATGTCCTAAGGACGGTTCTTTTTCTAATCATAGTTAACAAGAAATTTTAAAGGACAATATTACCTTTTATGAGAAACATTTACGTTAATGTAATAATATTTAATTGAAAGTGTCACGTAGTACCAATTCAATATAATTCGACAGTTATTTACTTGTTAATTAATCAAACTTTAAGAAGCAGCATTACATATTGAGGTCATTTTATAACTCTACAATATTGTTTTACTCCTAATTGAAAAACGATTAAAGCCAGGTCAACAGTTATTTCATTTAAAGATAAGTGATCGCAAAAATATATACCTATAAAATATAGAATTATAGCTTAACCTGAAATCAAATGTTTTATACACCTTAGTAGGTGTATATCTGCCCTTTGAATACTTTTAATAATATCTACAAAATAATATAATATTGATCTAAATCTAAACTATTTCTCAATATAGCATAATGAATGCATAATTCATCAAATATATAAATAAAAAACCATATACCAAATTCTGTTGTTGAGGATTGTCCAGAATAATCAATATTAATAGGCCTAATCCTGAAAATATGATGTCGCTCTTGTTTGAATGTGTTTTCTTTCACTATATTTTATTTATTTTTTCCTTAATTGTATTCGTGCACGTATTTACCTATAATTGTTTGATATATTTAACTTATCATCATTGAATTAATTGTTAGTTTTACTTATGTACTCAAATGTTGGTAAATCTAATAAATAAAAAAAAACTAAAGTTTTATTCGTAAGTCATTATTGCTTTCCGCCAGCGGCTTCGCCCGTTTGGTCTTGTATTATAAATAGAAACTTTCCGTTTGAATCACCCTATGTATTAAAAAAAACGCATCAAAATCCGTTGTGTAATTTTGATGATCTATGCATACATAAGAACAGGCGATGGAAACGTCTTTGATTTATATTATGTATATAGATTGATAGTTGCTAATTATAAATTTCCGTTATCCTTAATACTTTTTAATGGATTACCTGTTATGTTTCATTATATCAAATATTAAAATAATCAGTATTTCCTATACTATAATAGTTCAGGAAGTTTAATTGTCTCCACGAAAAAGGGACTCGTAGATTTTATTTTCAACATAGAGAAGGTTCGCTTCATTGAATTGAATATTATAAAAAATAGGTAGTGCCCTTGCGCTCTGTTTGCTCGGCTTTCGTGCTATAAATACTATATTATTAACAATTTAACAAAACCCGTTTAAGACGATTTCACTGGGACTCAAGCAAAAATGCGTTTTCAACGGAATTAAAAATGTAGGATTTATCTGGCATCGATCTGAAAAATAAACCGAATTTGTCGTTCGTAAATTTCCAACAACTTGGGAAGTGTTGCCATCCATGTATTTTATAAATATCTTGCTGAGTCTACGATTTTCTATTGATTTGGTGGTACATAAAGCCGTGGCGATTGTTAAAACAATCTATCCAGCCATTTGAAGCGTTAAAATCAGTGATTTGCAAGCTTTCATCAATTTTAAGGTTTGTCTCGCATATTATGAGCCCATTTATGGACAGTTTCAAAGTTCGTGCTAAATGAACCCATTCCACCAAAACTTTTTCTAATTTATCAGACTAACCTATCAATTGTTTTTTCTCTGCACACCTCCCAAGCTATATTTGTCTTTGATTTCTTCTGAATTATTTAAAATGGTACGGACGTAGACACTAATAACTGAAGCTCAGCAGCTAACTGAGTCTGATTTTTAGTTTGTGATTTTTCGTAAAAAAACTATTATATGAAAACATGTCCCAAGTTGCAGGAACTGACGCTTAATGGCGTATTATGCGAGAAATCGTATGAAACGAGTTCTACTGTATTAACATACCAAAGAAAATATTCACACGCGAATATACTATAGTGATCTAGGTATACGTATACTTAGATGAGGATTAGCTTCAACTAGCAAGCGCAAGTAAGCAGTGTTTGTCAAAAAGTGACTGGAATATTGCGAGCGCTTTATCGGCTTAAAAACTTTCTGCAAGTCAATATTAAAGCTAAGCTTGTGTAGGCCTTCATATTTCTTATAATCGACTATGGTGATGTGTATTACCTCAATCTAACTGAAGATCTACTAAATAAACTGAACCGAACCGAGCGAACATTTGATTCGTTTTTAATTTTTGGAAATATGATCATGTGTCTGCATAGCGATCTCGTTTAAAATGGATAACCATTCGGCAGCCTAGAAGTATGCGAGCTCTTACTACTTTGTTCTTTTTACTAAACTCTTCAAATGCTCCGTCTTATCTCACATCCCATTTTCAGTACTTATGTACCACTCATATCAAAAACCTTCGGTCCTACTCAAATGTGTTTAACTCACCACTCCAATACTATACACACTTCGTTCTTCGTTAAATTTATTCTGCTGTGGAATGAACTTTCGTTGGACATTAGATTGTCCCACAGCAAATTTATAAGTATTTATAAACAAGCTGCGTAGCTTTCAGTTGGAACAGGCAAATTCGTTACACCGTTAGTCATCTATATTATATAGGTTAGGTTCGGTTAGTGCCAGGGACAAAGTGGATTTTTTAATTATTTTTCATTAAGAATATTTTTTATTGTGAATGCAAAATTAATCAAATATTATATTAAATAAAATGTGTTGTCGTTCGTATATAAAATGATTTGTACTTGGATATTTTTAAAGATTTATATTTAAAAAGTTTTGGTGGAATGAGTTCATTTAGCACGAGCTTTAAAACTGTCCATAAATGGGCTCATAATATGCGAGACAAACCTTAAAATTGATGAAAGCTTGCAAATCGCTGATTTTAACGCTTCAAATGGCTAGATAGATTGTTTTAACAATCGCCACGGCTTTATGTACCGCCAAATTAATAGAAAATCGTAGACAGTGGCTCAGTAAGATATTGATAAAATACATGGATGGCAACACTTCCCGAGTTGTTGGAAATTTACGAACGACAAATACGGTTTATTTTTAAGATCGATGCCAGATAAATCCTACATTTTTCATTCCGTTGGAAACGCGTTTTTGTTTGAGTTTGAGTTTGAAATTGTCTTAAACGGGTTTGGTTAAATTGTTAATAAATATAGTATTTATACCACGAAATCCGAGCCAAACAGAGCGCAAGGGCAAACCTATTTTTTATAATATTCAATTCAATGAAGCGAACCTTCTCTATGTTGTAAATAAAATCTACGAGTCCCTTTTTCGTGGAGACAATTAAACTTCCTGAACTATTATAGTATAGGAAATACTGATTATTTTAATATTTGATATAATAAAACATAACAGGTAAACACAACAGCCACCCAGGTTCCCAAACAATTCGGGTTATGAGGGCATGTCGAAAAAAATGTTTTCTACCGTGGAGCCCAGGGTTGTCAGCTCGCGGAAACGAAAACTACCGAAAATCATAGGGCTCCCCCGGCACAACACCGCATCGAGTCTGTTTTCCGCGAAAAGTGCGTATTTCTAAATTTCACTTTTCTCCCAAAATCTCATAAACTACCACGAAAATGGTGGAAATTAGTACTAATGTGGAAAGATCCTACTAATCCCCACGACCGGCCCATAGAACGCGAATCCATCCGACGCCGACATCTTGAAGAAAATCGCACCGGAAAATGGCGATTTTTCATTGCCGAAACAAAATGGCCGCTCCCGCCGCCGCCATATTGCCGCGCAAATGAAAACTCCCCGTACGTGAAAATCGACTATACTTCCGAGCTGAAGGAGCAAAAATCCCCCCTCCGAACGCACCACAAAAGAAACGACGATTGCCCGAACATAGGTCGAAAAATACCAAATTTCCAGGTGAAATATCTCTGCCGCCATTTTGTTTTTTTATTCAAACTCTTTTTCAGTCTCATTTTTTTAGCCAAATCTACGACCATTTCGAATATCGTAACCGTAGAGTGAATAATGTAGAAACTAAAAAAATTATCTCGCCGCCATTTTGTTTTTTGGCTGAACCCCAATGCCATTTCAACTCATTTTAAAAAAATATTATCAGTCTCCATACATGAAAACATCGATTTCCTACTCCTTCTACCCGAAAAAAGCATGGAGTGAGTCAGTGAGTCAGTCAGTCAGTGGTAATTAAGCTTTATATATTATAGATAAATATATAAATAGATAATAGATATATATATATATATATGTATATATATATATATATATATATATATATATATATATATATATATATATATATATATATATATATAGGACCATGGGTCCTGTTTTTTGATTAGGTATCTTATATAAATTGTTAACTAGTTTAAATTTCTGTAGAAGTAAGGTGGAGGTTTTGTGTAGTTTGTTAATTTAAACGGAAATAAAGTTATGTGTTCACATAAAGGGTAATTCCTTTGCAGCATTGTCACGCAGCACGAAAACACTAGCCGTACAATTAAACGGCTATTTTAAGCAGTCGCTTAAATCGTATATATACTGCATGTGATATAACTGAATCCGGAGTTATCGAATCTAAAAACGTACCTACACACTCAGGCAAGGTTAAGTATTTATTCTTGTTGCCATAAACCGATATTGTATTTGAAATACACTGGCCAAGCCACGTTCCAGCGATTATTTTAATTTTTGTTTACTAGTTCTATGGATAGTTTATGATTCGTAACTTGGTGCTTACTATTACTAGACGACGACCTGTTTAGATGATGAATATTAAAGTCGATTTTTGAATGGCGACTCTTTATGAAACAGAGATAAAAACTTACAAGTTCTTTATAGTGGAAGCTCTCTCACTGTTGATTAATTATTGAGAATAATCAGTTATAAATTCGTATTTTTTTTAATTCAGAAACCGGATCATAGTCTCTTAACTTCCACAAGTCTTTGTAAACAGACAAATTTGAATATTTGATATATTTGATTAGCAAAGCATTAGAATTAAATTGGTTTTAAAAGCCGGCAAAGTGCGCACTCGCGCACGATGGGTTTCGTACAAAAAATCACATTTGTTGTATTTCTTGTTGAAGCAAAAGAAATACATCAAAGATTAAATTATTATTGGAAAACCAATCTAAACAAACCAACAGAATTGCCTAATTTTGCATCAAACCATACATATTCATTCATTCATGATAACAGTTAAGTGACAGAATCACTAGTTCTCATTCAGTATATTCAGTGTTTGTTTTAGATTTTTATTTTCATAAAAACAAATAAAAAATGTAAATAATAAAATACAACAAACTTATTGGAATTCTTAAAACATGATGAAAGATATGAAGTGTCATTGAATCACATACTTTCCTGACAACTTGCCTTCCCGAAGTAGTTAGGTATTCCCTGTTATCAGTTCGGGACTCGTTCTTGTTTAATGATAGCTGATTTTTTTATAAGCGACTTTGACAAAATGTTATGTTTTATATTTTTGATCAATTCTACATTCATAATGATATTTTTAATTGAAACAGTTGTATTATTATGTCTACTGCAGTCCAATTCTGCTAATATTTACGTGAGTCAAATAGTGCCGTCAATTTAATAATCTGTGAGGCAACCTTTAAAAGCACCAGAATGATATGAGACATGGGAAAGGTGTGGCAGACGGTTTCGGTAGCTTATCAAGCGAATTTATGACCAATTGGCTGCCGTTGGAAAAGATATTTCTAATGCATCTTTCTTCTATCGGCTTCTAAAGGACATTAGCAAAGTGAAAATTTACCTATTACTTGAATACTTTGAAAACAAGACTAGAGAAATTCCAACAGAAATAGTTTCTTTATATAGCACAATGAAAGTACATCAAGTTTTTACAGACCAAATGGGATCGAGAAGAGTTGAGGTGTTTTTGCCAGCGTGGTTTCTGTTTTTAGCCTATTATCCGCATAAAGAAACAATTAATCAATCAAAGACAGTATTCCTGATACGTTACTTACTAATTCAATTTTTCAGGGTAGGAAATCGATTTCCAATGTTGTATACGGTTCGACCTCGGAGTTTAGTTTTCCTTTAAAAGAATGAAGATGATGATAACCACTTAACCGAGAAGGTATAAATGTCCATTGCTAAATTGAATACATTTATCTTGGAATAGCGTTAGATAAACTAGAAGTTTTATTTTTTCTAAAATTTTGAATCACGGTTTTCTGCAATGGATTTTAGAATGACCCATTTATCTTAAACAGAAATGCTTATAAACTTCAATACTATTATGTGCCTCCTATTCTTAAATGTATACGTAGTAGTTAGATAATTTGTGCCTCTTCCTTTTTGATTTAGAAATCGTTTAAAAAAAAAAGTAAAAAAATGGTGCATTTATTCCAAAGTTTTTTTAAACGATTTTTTTTATCAATTTTGCTTTTAAAATACTATACTGAATAATAATTTTAATGAAAAATGCTTAAAAAGCCTGGGGCAATCACCTAAATGAAATTACAAGAAAATAAAATTCATACGATGCAGTGAATGCTTTTATTATTTTTGAGATCCCAAAAACACACAAACAAACAATACTAGTAAATTTGTTAAATATATAGTTAGATAAATATTTTTGTCTTTTTATTTGCACTTAAATTATTTTTTATGAGTATACTTATACCTAAGTAAATAATGCAAAATTCAGAAATAACTTATTCCTATATAACTTATGTTACTTAAACATACGTAAATGGCACTTGAGGCATCGGTTTCATTCATGCTAAAAATAAGAAAAATTAATTATTTATCCACACAAAAAAAAACACCCTGTGAAATAAAATGTGAAATATTTTTTTTTTCTGTTTTTTCTATTGCTTCGTGCTTATTAGTGACACTCACTCAAAAAAAAACTATATGTATTTATAACAATAATAACGTTATTTCCATGCCATGTCGTTGTAAAAAATCAAGATAATAATTATTATTTAACTAAATATTTGCACATTTAACAAAATGTACCCAATGTCATAGTTTGTTGCGCTTATGCCTTAAATGGTCTTTAAAATGACAACTTCCTCTTCTTGAACATACACATTTTGTTCCGGTGCTACATATGACACATAGGAGCGGTCCATCTGTAATGCGGCTGGTGAGGTTGGGCCCGGTGAAGCGCGTGGGGAAGGCGCCCGGGGCCCGGGGGCTAGCTAGCCGCGCACATTCACTGTAGTGGAGCCAAAGATCTCGTCGAGCTGGCGTGACGAGAAGGTCACAACTATGCGTCGCTCGCCATGTCGCCGTGGCACGAACTTATCCTGGTAGTTCACAAACTCACCCGGCTTCACATCTCTGAACCTTATCTAAAAAAAATGAACTGTTAATCTTGTTCGCTCAGATAAAACAAAATACTAGTAACTCACTATTTACCTGTCGTGGTCTCTGTACTCCAGGTCCTTCGAAGGTGAAGTAACAATCGGTCAAATGCACGCTCAATGGATTCTGGAAGCTAAATGTCACCGCGCACTCTTGGCCGACACATGGTTGACTTCTGACCTGTGAAGATATAATCGAAACCAATTATAGACTTGATCAATTTATCATTGCGAGAAATTGAACGAATCATGATGTCAATTACCTGCACTTGCATCCTTGGTTTATGAAGCGGGAAATCATCCTCATCTGACCAGGCCTGACGAGTTTGCTTGACATAAGCCATTGCGTGCACCTTGATCATGGTATGATCAACGAGCTTATCCATATATTCTTGAGGTGTTACATGCAGCTTGAGAACTTCACGTTGTCCCGCTCTGACTACGAATTCGCCTTGAGCCCTTCGTAAACGAGATGCAATCGCACCGGTGTAATAGCATGACGATGCTGTCAGAACACACCAGATGGTACGATCTTCGTGCGATTTGTTCTGTTAACAATATAATAGTAAGTTTTTTATGTAAGCAAAATAAAGTGTTGGTTAACGAGCTTAACCTGTTAGATAATTACCTGAATATTCATAGTGCAATCGAAAGGCTGTCCATAAGGCACAAGGTCAATATCCATAAGATCGAAGTAAACATCTTCGAAATTGCGGTCAGGATATTCGTAATATTGCTGCAACCGTTGATATCCACGGCACGAAGCAATAACAGCTAAACGTTCAGGAGATGAGTTGTCTACAGTTTTATACTCGTGTGTAATCTCCAACATGTCACTCTCGCCTTCATCATCATCACGGTTAGGATTTTTAGTGAGTACTTTACGGCCCACTCTGCAATTTTTAATAAAAATGTTTTATATTAGTTATCTTTACTAAACATCAAGTACGTAAGTATTCATAAAAATACTAACTGATACTGATTAGAAGCCATTCTAATGAAGCCCCATTCTGAGTTCTCTTCTTCTTGGAAGTGGCACAGTTCAGCGTTCAATTGACAATACATGAAGGGTGTATCGTATTGGAAGCCAACCTCTCCCCGCCGTACAGCTTCCACACTAGCTGGACCACAATGATACACCGCTTCGGCTTCCTCCTGAGGTGTGGAATCGATAATCTGCCAGCCACTATAACCTGTTTAATCGTAACCAAACCATTTAGCACTGCATCTATACATATAATCAAAGGAATATAATTAATTAATGTCAATAGTATTATGTAACCTTGCGGTAAGTCTGGTCTTTGCATCCAAACATCATTCCAAACGTGGAAGTTCCAGCAAGAATCATAACAGTCTTCATCGGGACCATTGGGCACTTCATTGCCATCTCTGTCGAAGTATTTGTCAACCGTGAAGGTTCTGTTAGTATCATGCGCAGATACATAGTTTGTGACCGATCTGCATGGGATACCTGCAAAAGTGTACAGATCAACGGTTATAACAATTCTTAAAGTTAATCTTCATAATATCTTGTTGAATTAAAATACCCAAAGCTCTGCAGATCGTGACAACGAGTCCAGAAAATACCCAACACTGTCCATATTCGACTGGTCGGCCGCCATCAGTCAAGTATCGCTCTAATATGGCAACAGAACCTGTCCAGGCGTGAGGAGCTACACCGTCTTTATACTCGCCATCATAACGACCTACCATCAGTCCATCGTCATCGTGGTTTGCATTTATCTAAAAACCCAGACAAATATCGCTAGTAAAATTATTATTATTTAAGCGCCCATTAATAGGACAAATGTAATTACTGTTAAATTGGAAGTTAACTTTCAGGCTTATAAATTAAAGTTGCTTGTAAATATAAAAGAGAAAACGAGATAAAAGCAGCATGTTCGTCAATGAGATATATAGAAACGGAGGAACATATTTTTATATATAGGTATCTTTTTACATTATATAATGCATAATTTTATAATGCCTTCCTATGATAGGATGGTTAAGGAGGATGGGCCACGAACCTCCACGCTTGCCTAATGCGGATTGGAAGGTATTAACTGCAGGTATGACTACAAATGCAGCTGGAACCAAAGGCTTAACATGCCTTTCGTAGCGTGATTATTAGTTATAGTTTATTAGTTTGCTATATACTAAAGCTTGTAGGTTTTTTTTTTTTTTTACTTATGATACAGGCTTATCTTGTTTAGGCAAATGATATCATATTTATATCATGTATGTTAATATGAATTTTACAAAGATTGTTTCTTAAAATTTATTATTATTGTAATTATCATGAAAGCATAAAATAAAGCTAACATAAACTTTTCCTTACCATTGATGAAATGGCTCTGCACACTCGAATTGGATTACCGCGTTCTGAATGTTCCAAGCCACTACGCTCCAATAGATACATACAAGCAGGTAGAACGACATCATCGAACTGGCCGTAAATCCATTTCCGTCCCTTGGGTTGACGCCAAGTGCCACACCAAATCTTTCCTTGCTCATTGAGCACATATTCCTTTCGGGACGACTCATTATCCATGTAAACGGGATCTTCTCTACACCAAGGGTTGAACAAAATATAAACATCCTCATCACATTTGTAGTCGTGGCGATTGTCACGTTGACCAAAGCGATTTGTCTGCACCCAACAGTTCCATACACCAACTGGAGCTGTAGCCGGTACGTGAACTTGGAAAGTTATCGTATTTCCATCTTGTCGTTGAATGCTTATATCCCAACGGTCCATGTCATGTGCAAGAGATGCCAAGTTTTGCATAGAGCCATGTCGTGAACCATGACGCGACCCATAACCACGATTAAACGATGAATGCTGGCCCGTACCTCCATAGCGATCCATCATTGTTTGTCTATCCATAGGACCGTGAGGGCTAAGAGGACTATGTTGCAAGGGCAAAGGCTCATTACTGAAGGAACTGCGGCGAGCGCCATACGTAGTAGTTTCTCGCATTCCACTCATAGGGCCCATTGAACCCATAGTTCCCATAGTGCCCATGGTACCCATAGATCCCATAGTCCCCATATTAGTGGTACTATCTTGCATGCGCGACATTCCCATGCCCATACCCATTCCCATTCCCATCCCCATTCCCATCATATCGCGAGAATGTTGGAAAACACCTTGCTGCATATTCCAGTTTACAGGTAGCACTACCCGAGTGCCTTTAGTGACACTTGGTTTGGGACCTAAAATAATGAAAAGAACAAAAAAGATGAAATACATTAATCATTCGTATCGTACAGCAACTATGATATAATAACATGATCATTAATGTTTCAATCACCCCATGAATAGTGGTGGGTTTCACAATATTTGTACCAATATCTTTATTGACCCCGTAGTAATAGATTAATATTATGTAAACTGTTTGCTAACCCAAACAAAGAAAATAAAATATTTATATCGAAAAATCTTACCAAAGCAGAACACCATACGGATCATATCCTGTTGTTTATCGTAAGTGCGATCAAAGCGCACAGCAAAGAAGAAGTTCTGACCTCTTCGCAAAACAGGATTAGGCAAAATATTGTCGTTCACCAAATCATATTGTTCAGTGTGATGATCCTTTGAATTGTCACGAGAGTAAAATTCAGTAAGTTCAACCTTCAATGGTTGTTGGGAGTAATAACTCTGAGGAATCATGTCCAAGGTATCTTGGCGACGACGACGTTCATTTTGATCTGCCATTTTACAGATCATATTATGGGTGTACTGTGTATTAGGGCTGTTCCTTGACGAATGTTTCATGCGATGAAGATCGCCAGTGCTGTGGGAGCGTCCTGGGCGATGTTGGGCTGTAGGTCCTGCTCTCTGCATGGGCCAGCGACGAGGTTGTCCCGGGCGGTGGCAGAAGCTTGAGATGTTGTAATACGCTGAGAGACCCGGAACATAGTTCGATGGCATCCCACCGATAGTCATCTGTTGTTCCCTCATGCAACTAAGAGTACTCATCCCTGAAGTAAGTCCTGTTATTCCACCCAAACCCATCCCAGTCATGCTTGAAGTCATGCTCGAGGACATCCTGTCCATACTAGATCTTCGGACCATGGACATCTTGGCGTAAACGCTATACGTGAATACGGTTTAACGGGCTCAACTGAGGAGCGCACTGTGCTCCGGGTAGACCACAGAGCGAATGGTGTCGTTGGCTCAAATTGAGGACCTTTATATACTGTAGAAGGATCATTCACCGCTGAGGTGTCAGTTGTCAACAGAGGCGCCTGTGTTGAGAGGTTTCTGGCAGTGCCTTTGTTTGTGGGCACTGAATTGTATATAAACGAGAACATCTCGTACACACCAACTCCGTGCTTATTACAAGCTTAGACAATAGAAACGCGTGTACCTGTAATGAGACTATTCTTTATCGAAGCTATAGTAGTACATCATATTTTTTTTTAATAATAAAAAAAAAGTATTAATTAAACAACATTTTTAAATTATTCAATTTTGATAAAGTCTTTTTCCAACCCCTATTTCATATGAATAATATACACATTTACACTGTTATTATAATATTCAGTCTTCTTTTACATTACTGGTAATTATCATCATCAAACTACTGGGATAAATCAATAAAGTATAAAGGTAAACTAACGATTTTGTTTTTATACACATTCGATGATTTCCGAAATAGAGTGACTGGTTTTTAAGTGTCTCTATCTCTGAGGTATCGATATAGAAACTAACCTTAAACTAACTTTTCTCTTCATAGTCGAGTCTGAGTAATGCTGTTAGAGATTTATTTTGTGATTTTATGGATTTTGTAAGAAATGATAACGATATAAAATAAAATTAAAATCTGAATCAATCTCTATCTTGTTTTTAATAAATTATTTGAAATTATGATTAGATTTATGTACATTTACTTCAGAACATATTCACAACCGAAGTAAGTAATGAATTCTAACAAACTTTAATTTAATTTACAATTAATGTTTGTGTTTTCGTCATTTAACGTAGAAAATCTATTGATTCCATTTTTGTATCAAAATACAAAACAAGAATGATTGATTAATACGTGTCTCAGATATTCTATTCTTATGTCATTTCGAAACTCACTTCACTTATGTCACGAAATGTTATTACCAAATTTAGGATTGAGCGAATGCCGCTTTTGAAGTTAATTCGGATACATAAGTGAATTCTAATTCGGGTTCCGATTCCGATTGCAGGAGTGAACTTTATAATAGTTATCTTCAAATTTTTATTCCGTTATTTCAACGGATGCACTAATCAGGTGAACTAATGGGAATATTTTCCCGCGAGTTCGCGAAATTATAGCCTAGCTCAACTGCATATGTCAACAGGTCTGGTAATTTATAAGCATAATCAATGCAAACAAACAATCAAATCGTTCCTCTTTAGATATAATATTAGTTTAGATTAATGTAACATCATAGTTACTCCGTGGGCGAGAGACTCGCGCGCCGGTATCATGGTGTTGTCATCTCTACAGTTCCAAGTTTAATTCCCGGTCGGTTCAATATAAAAAATGAATTTTGCTATATTATCTCGGGTCTAGTATTTTAAATTTCCATAGTACAAGTGGTATAAAGCTACTTTATTTGGCACCTAAGTAATGTCTAGGATATTGTATGTTTATTTATTATTTACATAAGTAAATGTGCTAAAAACTAAAAAAGAATGTTTTTTTAGCTAATCTATCATTGTTATTATATATATACTTATACACAAAGCTTGTCCTCTTTTACTGATTATTATTTAATATTTATATATTTTTTTTATTACCAACCAAATATATATATATAATTATTATTTTATGAATGGTAGGTATGTATATCATACTACTATAAAGTTACAAGTTACAGTGAAGAACGCGTCTTTTGTTTTACACGGCTACTGTCGTTACGCTTATTTACAAGGATAAGTGTTTAGTTCAATGCCCTCCCCTATTCCACTATCCACAACAAAATTAAATATGGTTCAAAATTTTAAAAAAGATCTCCCTGTATTTCCACCTTTATCCAGATACTTAGGTACCAAAATAATATCCATCAATAAGGACAGTGTTAATAAATGTAAAATATATATAAAAAAAATAAAAAATAAAAGTGTTGTTTTACAATAGTCTAATGCCAGGCCACGTTTAATTAAATTCCGAAAAATTTCCTTCTCAGGCATTTTCTAAGTTTTTTATTAAGTTACCGGCGATTAAGTACATAGATTAAATCACCTATATTAAAGTACGCCATTTTGCAACTTAATTATTTAACGAACTCTGTGGTCGAATGGCATGTACGCTGGTTTCAAGATTTTTCCTTCTCTAAGTTTCGATTCCCTGTCGGGTCAAATTGATAAATCTGTCAAGATTTCATTTCAGTGAAATCACTGCTTAATAAATATACCTATATGAAAGAAATATTTTATTCGTATGTTTGCACAATGAGCTCCTCGTGTACAAGTCCGAGTAGCGTTAGGTAGGTTTATTTTGAATATTGCTGTATCTGTACATTTAGACCTGTGACAGTAAATCCACTAGCTGATCCTTATTATTACCTAAGTTAAATCTATTCAATATGTCAATTTAGCTGTTTACGTAAAAATCGCTTGTACTATCTACCTGAAGTCCACTATTAATAGTGCTTTGAATTCGTCACAAATCAATGGTGACATATGTATAATAATTTTGGACTTCAGGTAGATGCTTAGTACAGTGGCATAATACAAGTATAAGTCTACCAGAAACTCATGGCATTTAAAAAAAATAAAAAAATCAGAATTTCTTTAATAATAATCCCTTTATCGCCTCTTACGACGGAGAGATATGGGGTGATTAATTATACATAAGTACATTAATATGTAGCAAGCATAATTAAAGTTAAAAAATATTTTTTTATTTGATTTTTCAGACTTATTCTTAAAGAGATTGGCTTTGAATATGTTTATGTCAATCTAAAAGAGTAATTTTGATGGAGCGAAATGACATAAAATTTAAAAAAAGTAAATATTTAGAACGCTTGAAGAAAAACAGAGAGAAACAACATAACAAATAAAATGTTATATATTTAGATGAAACATACATTCATGGTTCATGTTCCGTGAACAAGTGCTGGCAAAGCAAAGACGTTGCAGGTCCATCTAAATCTATATCACTGAGAGCAAGGTGGATTATTGTTAACGCCGGTGAAGAAAATGGCTTTGTACCAAATGAAGCTTTTTCGCAAATTGGTTTGGATGAATGGCTAATGTGTTATCAACATGTGCAAAAAATCGAAAACGAGTTCATAGAAAAAAACGGGATAATTGAAGATCTAGAGGAAAGGGTTATTATAAATACCTCCGTATCTTCATGATCTTCTTCAATTGACGAAGAACAAGAAATGGAAATTGAGTTTTTAGAGTCGTTTTCTAGTTCCGAATAAACTAAATAGCATTACAAGATTTTTTTTAATCATCCCCCTTTATAAAATTCTCGAAAATTATATATTTGTTTGTATTATTATTATGAACAATTATTTATATTCATAATATAAAGAGAATAGATTTGTTTGTTTATTTGGTAGTTTTAACTGTAGAATAGTATAAATCAGGGGTGGGCAGACTTTCATTAATGGCGATCTATATCAATAAATTGAGACGACAAGCGATCGACTTGCAATAAGACAATATTTTTTTATGTTAAATCGTTTATTGTAGGTATTGCGCACATATCACTATTTAAATATACTTTTATTTACAATTAAAGAAGTACAGTTTCTTATTATACAAGTTAATAACTAATAACTACTAAAAATAAGTATGAAGCCAATCACATGAACTAAGAGTGTTTTTATCAGTTTTCGGGCCTCTCTGGACTGATTTACTTAGAGGTCGATGCATGGCACTGCGTATTTTCTGCTAATTTCTCATAGGAAGGCACGTATTTAGTAAGTGCCAAACATAAACAGGAAGACAAATGTTCGTCGGTAAGTCGATTGCGGTATTTGGATTTAATTATTTTCATTTCAGAAAACGCAGATTCGCACAAATACGTCGACCCAAACAAAGCAGTTAATTGCTGTGCGATTTGTTGGAGACTTGGGTATTTTTCTTGGGTCAAAAGAGACCAAAAACTGATATCTGTTGCTTTGGCTTTTAGGTGAACATCTGAAATGATCTGTATCATCTCGTTTTCGAGAGAAGACAAATCCATGTCAAAAGTGTTCGATATTTCAGAAGCAGTAATTTCAACATCCACACAAGAAAAAGGATAAATCATGAAAGTAACAACGTTCGTCAATTTTTGTAAGTCAGAAAAACGTCTTTCAAACTCGCTGAGAATATTTCCAAGTTCTGTTTCGTATTTATTATAATTTATTACGGCGCTTGTTTTTGCTTTCAAACACGCAAAATTTTTCAAGTCCTTTTTTTTCAGTTGGTTGATCAGAAGCTGCAATTTACTTTTAAATGAGTTAATTGTGCTAATCATGTCCATAATAGTTTTATCTTTCCCTTGTAGCTCCAGGTTTATAGAATTCAAATGACCAGTCACATCAGTAAGGAAAGCCAAATCACACAGCCAACTTTCACTTTTAAGAATCTCCGTGTCATCACCCCTTTGATCCAGAAAAGAAATGATTTCAGGTAGTAATTCTTGAAACCGTTCTAAGAACTTCCCCGGCTCAGCCACCTTACGTCAGTATGGAGCAATAAATCTGTGTGCTCAGATTCGCTGGCCTCCAATTGCACTTTGAAGAGTCGTCGTTGCAAGCTTCTGGCTCGTATAGAATTTACGATCTTCATAGTGATGCTCATCACATCTGCCATGTTCAGTACTTTCGAACACAACACCTGCTGATGAATGACGCAATGAAAAGAAAAAAAAGATGGGAAGTCTTCATTAGCTCTGCACAGTGCCACAAATCCATTAGTCTTTCCAGTCATTGATGGTGCTCCATCTGTTGTTATGCACACTAGTTTATACAGAGGCAGCTCGTAGTTTTTCGCAAAACTTAGAAAAGCATCGTATATGTCTGAACCGCGAGTGGTTTCTTTCAAAGGTATGATTGTTAAGAACTCTTCTTTAGACGACGTATCTGGAAATGCCATCCGAATAAACACACATAGCTGGGCAGTGTCAATCATATCAGTGGATTCATCAAATTGTAAAGAAAAGAATGAACATCTCATAATATCACTTTTTAGCTTTTGCTCGATATCACTGTTCATGAGCTCAACACGTCTAGTTACAGTCCGACGAGACAACTGGAGCTCTTTTATGGCAGACATGATTTCAGTTTTATTTTTAAAGTCGCCAAATAATGAATTTGCGCCTTCGAGAAATGCTTTTTTCAATACCTCGCCATCTTCAAAGGGTTTTTTGTGTTTTGCCAATATATGAGATATTTTGAAGGACGCAACTGTCGCAGCTTCCGATTGTTTACTTGGCCTGGTAAACATAGCTTGCTCGGCCTTCAAGCTACCTTTCAGATCTTGAACTTTCTGACGTCTTATTTCACTTTTGAGAGGAAAATCACTTTCGTAAATTTTATGCAAGGATTTATGATGCCTTTCTAAGTTGCCGCGTTTAGGCAAAGCTACTGAAGCTCGACAAACAAGACAAATACACTTGTCTTTCACCATGGTAAATAAGAATTCTTCTTCCCATTCATCGTTGAAATGATAAGTTTTACTTTTTTTTGGCGCACTCATTTTAAATAATAGTTACCAACTTCATTCTCTCCTTTAGTTACCCTCAGTACAAAATATATTCATGAGCAGCACGAAGTCACACGATCACGAAAGTTATTGGGAAACATAAACAAGTACAGAATCCAGAATCACGACATGACGTCTCACCGAAACCAAAATCTGTGCGAGACTGGCGAACACGTGCCGGCCGTCGGCAATTGTCAAAGCAAAGTAAATCGGGCGGCAAGCATAAAGCTAATTCGCCGCCCGCACAGGTCAAAGGACGCCGCCGCGCCGTTTAACGAGCCGACACCGGCACACGTGCACAGTACAGCCGCAAATAAATCTGGTGCCTTCTTATTTCATATCGACATTTTCGCAGTGAAAGGTTGTTTGTTGACAAGTATTTTCTTCTTAAAGTTACGCGCGTGTAAAATAAAATGTTTTTTATGAACGCACTTTAGATACTGGTATTTTGACTGGTGAAAAGACCACTGTTATTGGAATTAGCCCAACACGTCAGTACATTTTTAGGAATGCGATCGACCATAGATTCCCTTGCGATCGACCGGTCGATCGCGATCGACCGTTTGCCCACCCCTGTTTTATATCAATGATCTGAAAAAAAAATTTTAACCGGTGACTACTTTATGATTCTTCATAAAGTAGTCACCGGTTAATTAGTTTTCAAACTAAATAAAAAACTCATATTCCATTTGTACTTTTTCTTATTTGTATTGATATCTAAGTTACGAGCTTTCAAATTTCAGTTTTTTAATATGTTAGTTAAAAGGAACGGAATTGACTGTCTGTGGTCTATTCGTTTCTTGCAAAATCAACATTTGCTAGAGTCGCCATCTAGTGGAGGTGCTTTTTTGTGCTTCGTTTTTTAAATACTTCCTCATTCACCAGCTGTCATTGTAGTCCAAATAGTAAAAAATCATAGTATTTGCAATAAATACAAAATATTAAATTAAAAAATAAAATAAAATTGTAAAAAAAAAATAAGTCAGATACTATAGAATACAGTTATCGGTTTCGTTACGATTTTTGCTCCACTTTGTATACTTAAAATTAAGGAGGCAAAAAGCATGGCCCATAGCCCATACATTTCAAATTTAAAAAGCATATATAACTGTCAAATTGACAGCAGCTAATGTCAATTGTGTGCAATTCATTTCATTCATTCACATTTTCTTTCTTTCGAATTCACAATTTGTCAATTTCTGTGTAATGTGTTGTGTGTGTGATAGTTAAATTTATATTCTATTTATATAATAATAACAATGAATTTTAAAATTTATGAATATATAATAAAACAAATATGATAATCGTGGCGACTGCAACTAGTAGTCTTCTTAGAACTCCTAAAATATTATTCAGTTTTTGATATTAGTTGAACTTAAGATTATTTATTATAAAAATGGATTGGATTATCTCGGATGAGTTGGGGCTTACTGTTGGCCATCTTGTGGGTTGGGGTGCAGCAGGCGCTATGATCGTGGGAGGTGTAGCCCCATATATTCCCCAATATAAACAGATTAAAAGGACACAAGACGCTGAAGGCTTCTCATTATATGTTTGCTTGGCACTCCTAATAGCAAACACTTTAAGAATATTGTTCTGGCAAGTTCTTTTTTGACACACAATTTATCTTTATTGCACACAAAACAACAACTAAACAGCGATAATAAGAAAGAAACTGTATGCAAAGGACTGCCATATTGCTAGCTAGAATATTTATAAACAAAAATTTATCTTATGCCTAAAACAATGTCTATTTACATATTTAATAACATGAAAACTATTTTATATGACATTTTTTGTTTTATTTATAAAGATCTCATTTGGGTGTTTATAAAAGTCTTTGTTCATAATTTATATATATTTTCAGGTTTGGTAAACGATATGAGTTACCACTACTAATTCAGAGTATTGTTATGAATGTCACAATGTTTGTGATGATCCATCTGTGTGTAACAGTTCGCAAAAAGAACCAAATAATAAGGGCAAGAGAGCGAATATTCACAGGTAATATTCCTTTTATCAATTTAAAATTTTATTATAACGGTCAAAATAACTTATTATATATTTTCATAATATCTATAAGGATTAGCATGTCAGTTGCTTGCACTAATTTGCTGATGATTAATAGTTATTTATTTGTTACATAATATTTAAGATTTTTCTATTACAAACCTATATATTTTTTGTTTTTCAATGATTTGATTTTATACTATTTACGATTTGAGTTTTATTTCTTGAGTATGTACTTACTTATTTATTTTATTTCCTATTCAGTTCATTAATATTATTTTATGTTCCGTTTGGTGGTTGGTGTAAACAATGATGGCATTAGGTGCAATATTTATGTTATATATACTGTTGTGTTGTGTAAATGGATCAGACCAGCCGGACGAAACAGCACGCTGGTTGGACCAACGTACCGGTATAACAACTAGAGAAAAACCGCATCGCTTTTATGGTAAGTTCAAATTTTTTTTTAATGTATGGTGTCTTATCGAATGCATATTCGTTCACATCTGAAAAATCAATTTAATTGTTTTTGTTTCAGTATACAATTTATCTTCATGCTTTGACATTATCATCTATGGATATTATTTGTGAATGTTGTGAATTTTCATTATTAATGCATTTTGATATTTGTAAAAGTTATTAAATGTTATTTGGTTATTATTGTTATTTTGTTATCATTTTCATCCTGCTTTACTTGGATTAATATACATAGAAGCATGCAGAGTGTTGTACAATGTTTTTGGTTTATATTATCAATCATTGTATTATTCAAACAAGTGGTTTTGGAAAAGCCACACATTTTGTATTCATTAAATTATAATAAACCATTGACACAATATTAAACTTATGAAAAATATAAAGAAAAACATATTTTTGAACATCTTTCATATACATCACACAGTACTGGTGTAAATGTTCCTAATAAACAGAATAAAAAAATGCCATATTTTTATCTTTTGTAGTTATTTACTTTTGCCTTTTATTTACATAACAAATAAAAGACTTACTGCATGTTTTGTAGTATAATCAGCTGAGAAAATCGCAACTGATTATTCTCAATAACTTAAGGTTTTTTTATGTTTCACATGGCAAAAAGTCCTAGTTATATCAAACTGCCATCAACTGTTCAATTAAAAATATTAAAACCAGAAACAAAAACCTATTTAAGTTACTTTGAAGATAGTTTAACTACATTTTGACACATGCTTAACTTTAAATTCTCAGTTCAGAAAATAAGAAATAGTATATTTTGCATTTTTTTATGTCACAAAGACATTGAGTGCCGTAATTATGCTTTTATAATAACTAGAAATATGTATAAATAGAACATACAATTAAAAAAGGGGTGAATAAAGCACACAGCGCTCATACCTACTTAAGTACAAGTCATTTTGTGTAAAAAACTAAAATAGAAAAAAAAATATGTTTTTAAGCCTTTTTTACCATTTGAATCGTAATAATATTTTAAATCACATTACATGAATGATATAAACTACACTATAGGTATATACCGATAAATGGTTCAACGTTCTTTATGTTATCTATTAAATATACATTTTAACTAATTGTTGCCTATTATAATTGAGTAGTGGTCGGGTCAAATCATCTGATATCGTAAATTGATATGACACGAGATTTACTATTAACTTGTGCACGTCACACTATAAATGCTTTAGCACTTCCTTGATGCGTTATTAGTTCTCCCAAATTATTTTTTTGACACGATCTCCTTTTAGTTTATTCTAATTTTCATTAGAACAATTTTTTTTTCTGCCGTTAATGTTATATATTGTAATTGTAAACAATATTTTCAATGTATTAATAAACTATTAATACTCTCTTTAAGGCAGGGGTGGGCAGACTTTCATTAATGGCGATCTATATCAATAAATTGAGACGACAAGCGATCGACTTGCAATAAGACAATATTTTTTTATGTTAAATCGTTTATTGTAGGTATTGCGCACATATCACTATTTAAATATACTTTTATTTACAATTAAAGAAGTACAGTTTCTTATTATACAAGTTAATAACTAATAACTACTAAAAATAAGTATGAAGCCAATCACATGAACTAAGAGTGTTTTTATCAGTTTTCGGGCCTCTCTGGACTGATTTACTTAGAGGTCGATGCATGGCACTGCGTATTTTCTGCTAATTTCTCATAGGAAGGCACGTATTTAGTAAGTGCCAAACATAAACAGGAAGACAAATGTTCGTCGGTAAGTCGATTGCGGTATTTGGATTTAATTATTTTCATTTCAGAAAACGCAGATTCGCACAAATACGTCGACCCAAACAAAGCAGTTAATTGCTGTGCGATTTGTTGGAGACTTGGGTATTTTTCTTGGGTCAAAAGAGACCAAAAACTGATATCTGTTGCTTTGGCTTTTAGGTGAACATCTGAAATGATCTGTATCATCTCGTTTTCGAGAGAAGACAAATCCATGTCAAAAGTGTTCGATATTTCAGAAGCAGTAATTTCAACATCCACACAAGAAAAAGGATAAATCATGAAAGTAACAACGTTCGTCAATTTTTGTAAGTCAGAAAAACGTCTTTCAAACTCGCTGAGAATATTTCCAAGTTCTGTTTCGTATTTATTATAATTTATTACGGCGCTTGTTTTTGCTTTCAAACACGCAAAATTTTTCAAGTCCTTTTTTTTCAGTTGGTTGATCAGAAGCTGCAATTTACTTTTAAATGAGTTAATTGTGCTAATCATGTCCATAATAGTTTTATCTTTCCCTTGTAGCTCCAGGTTTATAGAATTCAAATGACCAGTCACATCAGTAAGGAAAGCCAAATCACACAGCCAACTTTCACTTTTAAGAATCTCCGTGTCATCACCCCTTTGATCCAGAAAAGAAATGATTTCAGGTAGTAATTCTTGAAACCGTTCTAAGAACTTCCCCGGCTCAGCCACCTTACGTCAGTATGGAGCAATAAATCTGTGTGCTCAGATTCGCTGGCCTCCAATTGCACTTTGAAGAGTCGTCGTTGCAAGCTTCTGGCTCGTATAGAATTTACGATCTTCATAGTGATGCTCATCACATCTGCCATGTTCAGTACTTTCGAACACAACACCTGCTGATGAATGACGCAATGAAAAGAAAAAAAAGATGGGAAGTCTTCATTAGCTCTGCACAGTGCCACAAATCCATTAGTCTTTCCAGTCATTGATGGTGCTCCATCTGTTGTTATGCACACTAGTTTATACAGAGGCAGCTCGTAGTTTTTCGCAAAACTTAGAAAAGCATCGTATATGTCTGAACCGCGAGTGGTTTCTTTCAAAGGTATGATTGTTAAGAACTCTTCTTTAGACGACGTATCTGGAAATGCCATCCGAATAAACACACATAGCTGGGCAGTGTCAATCATATCAGTGGATTCATCAAATTGTAAAGAAAAGAATGAACATCTCATAATATCACTTTTTAGCTTTTGCTCGATATCACTGTTCATGAGCTCAACACGTCTAGTTACAGTCCGACGAGACAACTGGAGCTCTTTTATGGCAGACATGATTTCAGTTTTATTTTTAAAGTCGCCAAATAATGAATTTGCGCCTTCGAGAAATGCTTTTTTCAATACCTCGCCATCTTCAAAGGGTTTTTTGTGTTTTGCCAATATATGAGATATTTTGAAGGACGCAACTGTCGCAGCTTCCGATTGTTTACTTGGCCTGGTAAACATAGCTTGCTCGGCCTTCAAGCTACCTTTCAGATCTTGAACTTTCTGACGTCTTATTTCACTTTTGAGAGGAAAATCACTTTCGTAAATTTTATGCAAGGATTTATGATGCCTTTCTAAGTTGCCGCGTTTAGGCAAAGCTACTGAAGCTCGACAAACAAGACAAATACACTTGTCTTTCACCATGGTAAATAAGAATTCTTCTTCCCATTCATCGTTGAAATGATAAGTTTTACTTTTTTTTGGCGCACTCATTTTAAATAATAGTTACCAACTTCATTCTCTCCTTTAGTTACCCTCAGTACAAAATATATTCATGAGCAGCACGAAGTCACACGATCACGAAAGTTATTGGGAAACATAAACAAGTACAGAATCCAGAATCACGACATGACGTCTCACCGAAACCAAAATCTGTGCGAGACTGGCGAACACGTGCCGGCCGTCGGCAATTGTCAAAGCAAAGTAAATCGGGCGGCAAGCATAAAGCTAATTCGCCGCCCGCACAGGTCAAAGGACGCCGCCGCGCCGTTTAACGAGCCGACACCGGCACACGTGCACAGTACAGCCGCAAATAAATCTGGTGCCTTCTTATTTCATATCGACATTTTCGCAGTGAAAGGTTGTTTGTTGACAAGTATTTTCTTCTTAAAGTTACGCGCGTGTAAAATAAAATGTTTTTTATGAACGCACTTTAGATACTGGTATTTTGACTGGTGAAAAGACCACTGTTATTGGAATTAGCCCAACACGTCAGTACATTTTTAGGAATGCGATCGACCATAGATTCCCTTGCGATCGACCGGTCGATCGCGATCGACCGTTTGCCCACCCCTGGTATAAATCAATCGAAGTTTAGGTACCAACTCCAAATCGGTTAAAGCTGGTGTACAAAATCAAAATTTCCATGTTCCTATTACAATTGAAATAATTAATAATATTATAAGTGTCAAGATCATTTATTGCAATTTCCTTGGTGTGGCAAACATCAAATTTTAATTTCCCTATTTGCCATGAGATTCTGGTAGGCCTATAGTTGCGATTCCATAAATATGCAATTACCTATTATCTATTATGGGACGTTAGCAGAATTGGCCTACTATCAGGGGCGTAGCTACGCCATATCTGAAGTATCAATTATACGCCGGGCCACAGTGGCCTCCAATGTCCGAAAGCAAAAAATTAAAAACATCCCATTTTTTTTTTATTTCAGAAAAGCAAAGTCAAAAAAGCATTTGTTACCCACGTAAAGCGTGCGTTTTAAAGTTGGCAACACCCTGCATTAGTTTTCGCGGGCTGCGGGATTTCTCCGTTTAAATCATTTACTTCCACGTGGGAATCCCATAATAATCGATGTAATACGATTTAAATTCACACAGTTTGTACAAACATGTTTTTTCTTTTGTGAGAAATATTTACCCCTTATAAGGGCCCCCAAATTTTTATACGGGACTCCGCCAAGGCACTCTATGCCACTGCCTGCTATATAAAATATGTTTTATTGTTGTGTTAAACTTTATCCCCTCGTCAGTATTCTCAAACAGAGAAATTTAATTTCTAAAAATATTTATTTTAAAATAACATCTGATATTGGGGTTTGACTGAAATGCATTGTTGTTTGATCATATTTATCTATGCAGATTACGAAGCTTTTGCCAAGGCACAGAAAACAGGTGAAGAGCTGGCGAACATTCCTAATACCTCGTCTCTGCAATCGGAGCTCATTCCAATTCCAGAAAGCAGAATCACATTATTTTGTGATACTTCCACTGGCAGACCTTACCTTACCTTACCTAACGCCACAGTTCCATCGAGCTGCATTTGAACGCTGTCACCAACTTAGTCATCCTGGTGTACAAACATCTGCGCATCTGGTGTCAGAACGCTACGTCTGG